GTGTGCACTCAGACATGGATTACCCAAAGAGAAGTAGATCTTCTGATGACGATTCTGATGACGATTTCAAGAGACAAAGAATAGCTGATCCCGGTAGACCTAGCAAATCTTTCACCCTGGAGAATGGGCTTAAGGTCTATGTATTTAGCTGCGGCGAAGACGTAGATGACTCATCGGCTTCGATGACTGTTCGAGTCGGTTCCTTCGCAGATCCTCCCGAGATTCCAGGGCTCGCGCATGTAATCGAACACATGCTTTTTCGCGTTGTAATCGAACGCATGTAATCGAACGCATGTAATCGAACACATTCAATGATTTAAATGTTGTTCTTAATCTCGTTGTTTTTTCTAAATTTCATTTCACTTTATATTGCAGCTACAAGATTATCTGGCTAAGTATGATGGCAATACTAATGCCCATACTGAATTTGATCATACAACATTCAGCTTTGAAGTCGATACAGAACACTTTCATGATGCTCTTGATAGGTAGGTTTTTTTTTTGTCAGTTCAATTAATTCAACCCTCCTGTAAGTATGTATATTTTCTCACCAGAAATATTTGTGTGTCAGGTTTTCCCACCTTTTCATCAATCCTCTCATGGAAACAGAGAGGTTGGAACATGAGATCGATATCATAGATTCTGGTACCAATACTCTACAAACCGTATTCAATCAATTAATCCAAATGCGACGAATATGTCCGAGTTATATACTTTGTTTTTTGTTTTTGTTTTTGGCTTCAGAATTTCTCTTGATCAAGTACAGTGATGCTGATCGACTTGATCAAATCCTCGCTCACACATCTTATGAGGATCATCCCTTCAAATGTTTTTCTTGGGGCAACAGAGTTACTCTCACCAAAGTTCCCCTTGCTTCTCTCCGAAAATCAGCATTGGACTTTTTCAATACTCATTATCGAGCTTCTTCAATGATCCTTGTGATTGTCCTAGGATCAGGATCAGGTAATGATGCTTTTTTTTTTTTCCAAGTATCTTCTTGATTTTGATCTAAACTTTGTCTATCTCAATTGCAGGCGACGTAGATAAAATTCAGTCTTCGGTGACTGAATTTTTTAGGGATATTCCTAAAGGAATATCTCCATATACACCAGAAATCAGCCGACCATGGGACTCGGGTAAAACTTATTTCCTTCAATCTGTTGAGAATAATCAGAGAGTGATGATTACTTGGAGAATTCCTCGGGAATCCCATCAACAAAACAAGGCCGCAAAATATGTTATGCAACTATTCTCCGAAGGTAAAGAAATATTTTTTATGGTTTGGGAGTTGATTATTTTGGTAGGTTTTGAACCAGTCAAGGTGTTCGTTTCTTTTTTTGCAGAGAGAGAAGGATCCTTGCCCTTCTTTTTGAAGGAAAAAGGATGGATTTGGTCGTTGAAGGTTTATACTGGTGGAAAAAACGGTTTTTCAGCTGATGATGAAGACCCCTCAGCTTACTCTTCCACCTCTTTTGGGCAACTGTTTATACTGGTGTTAGAACTCACCAACGAAGGTTTGGAACAGGTATACTCTTAAGCCCCTGTTTATTATGTATGTACATATGTTATTTCTTCCTCATCATTATTTTCTTTTGTTAAATGACAGGAATATGTACTCATTAATCATGTATACGAGTATCTCGGTTTTCTTAGCCTGAACACTCTTCCTCCATATCTCATGAAAGAACAAAAGGATTTACAAGATATGAGATTCCGTTTTCTACACAGTGATGGCCAGTTGATTGATTCTTTACTTGGGTTTGCTGATCGTCTGTCAGGTTTGATACATTATAATTGATATACTTCATAATGAACTCTATTTGTTAATATATGTTCCATTTAACTGTTTAAATGGTTTTGAACAGCTTACATACTCTGGTGTGATGCTAATCATGCTTTGAGTCAATGTTTTTCTGATCCTACATGTGATCATAGTGAGATCGATTTCTTTCTAAAAAAACATTTTACTCCTGCGAATATGAGGATCTATTGGCTTGTAAAGACATTACCGGAAAAAGAAGGTATAATTTTTCTGAATGCTATATATTTCCACAATATTTCTGAATGCTATATATGTGTATTTGTTTTCTTCTATTTTCAGTTTGTCAAGATGAACCATGGTTTGGAACCTCTTACATGGAAAAGGAAATTCCCGAATCTTGTATCAAGGATTGGGTGGGTCTCAGAAATTTTTTTCCGAAGGGAAGTCGCTTTTCTTTCCCTTCTGAAAACTTGTTTATGCTATCAAATGAGAATCTGTTGGGTAGTGATGATGAGGAGCTGCGTCCATCAAATGAGAATCTGTTGGGTAGTGATGATGAGGAGCTGCATCCATCAAATGAGAATCTGTTGGGTAGTGATGATGAGGAGCTGCATGAGGGCGTTGAGATGGAGTTGCATGACTCTAGCGAAGATGGAGATAGTGATGGCATTGACAACACGATTAAGATTACGAAGAATATCTTCTATGTCTCTGGTAATAGCTCCATTGGGTTAAATATAACCCGACCCAATAAATTTTTTTGTGAAAGAATTTTAAAAACGGGTCGGATATCCGATATACCCGGAAGTATTTTTACCCACCCGTCGCCAAAGTGTTGCAAAAATACTAGTATAGATAATCAAAAGCCACTAATTTGTAACATCTTAAATGTTTGGGTCAAATATTAAAAATTTCGAAACATGAAGGACTACTAAATGATTAATAGAAACAATATAAGTAACATGTTGATTAATCTGAGAAGAAGAAGAAGACGGCGAAGAGAATCCAAACAACGACGGAGCTGAAGCGAAAACCTCTGAACGGATATTATAGAGGTAAACAATCTGCTGGGATTCTTCCGCCGGGAGATCTTTCATCGGCGTAGAGAAATGCCGATCATCATCATCTTCACTATTACTGCTTCGATGGAGATTTGGCTCCGAAAAACTTCGATTAGTGGGCTTTTGACTATGTCAGACACAAGTATCAACTCATCTCGACCGTTGATCTCTTCCAATACATGATATTTAAAATAAAACTAACTGTTATATATCTTTTTTTATTTCGGTATATACAGTTAAACTAAGATATCAAATTAATTCTTAATTTTAATAACTTACATAATTTAAAGATCCACATAAAAAGAATTACGTTTAAATGTAAAATATGAGTTGTTAGATGACGATGGAGAGAGCCAAGAAGAGGACGATAATGATAACCAAAAAATGAGATTAGATATAACAATTAAGAAGATGAGGTAGACCAATATTAATTGAAAACCTACTACAATTAAGAAGATGAGAGTGCTCCAAAGTTTAAAACGGCAATAATATATTATGAAAAAAATGACAACAACATCTTTTGAGTTCTAAAGACGAATGAGTGTTGTAGATTTCCAGAATTTTGTTTGGAAAATATTAGTATTCTATTTTCCCCGCTCCCGAAGTATTAGGGGGTGTTATTGGTTTATGATTTCAAAAGATTTTTAGTGACTTAAAGAGTCATGTAGAATATGTTGTTATTCAATCAAGATTTTTTAAAAGTATGTTAAAGTTTTGTATTATTCATTTAAGATTTGTAAAAAGTAATGTAAAATCATCGTAAATTTGGGGTTATTAGATTCATACTCTTATAAAGTCAGTAAAAATTTTGTGTTATTCAATTAAAACAAAAGAATCTCTGACTGTTAATGAATTAAATTATTATGTTATTGGTTCATGACTTTGTACACTTTTCTTCACAAAATAAAGTCATAGAAAGTCATGAAAAATATTATCAAAATAGAGAGATTGTTTGAGAAACTTTACAAGATTATGAAAAACTAATCAACAAGATTATAAAAAACTCTCTATCAATAGTTTAGAATCTTTTATTTATTGACTTTGTAGGATTTGATTGAAGTCATCAAAATTCCTTGGAAATTAGGAACCAATAACACCCCCTTAGTATTGATTTCATTTTGATGGCCAAGTCCAAACCATTCGAGCTTAACTATTTTCAAAATTTTGTAATTTTTTTTTGTTTATTAAATAAATTAATATAAACAAGAAAGTGTCGTCTGTCGTGGATCTAATAAGGATCAGAAGGAATCATCCGTTGTAGAATCGTCTATTTAACAGTTCTCATAATTTGCAGTAAATAATAAATCCAGACGTTAAAATTTTTTTTTTAGTATTTTATCCAAAATAAAAAGTGTGTGTTTAGTGGTAGTGGCTACGAGAAAAAAATTACCGGGGTCCAATTATATATTAAAAACCAATATTTATATCAAAATATATTTTTCACAGTAATTAATCTAAAGGTTTATTTTATGTCTATAGTAAATTTTTAATTATTATAAAAAGAACAGCTTATATATGTTAATAGATTGAGTTGTAGCTCAATAACAATAAGAAGAGTTCAAACAAATTAAATACTACAGAGCACAAGCATTACTTGTGTTGACAATAGATTAATGGGTTCACATTTAATTGCTCTAACAAAATGAACTACAAATAATTGTTCATATAGTTAAGTATCAAATTTAACCGGGGTCAGTTGCCCCGTATCCTACAACATGAGTCCGTCGGTGTTTAGTCTTGATGTGTTAGAGTGAATGGTATTTTAGATAAAGAATGCATTTTGAAAAAATGGCAACTATCATGATCGATATTGAATTTCTTATAATTGAGAAATTTTCACTTTAAAGAACAAAGAATCAAAGCGAAACACATGATATTTGTGAATTAGTTTTATGTGATTTTTTTTCTTTATCGTCCATGTATTCATTATAATTTGTTCCTTCTTTTATTTAAATTTTGATTATTCTCTTCGTACATCAAATTTATAAACATTTTTTGTACAATATATATTTTAATAGACTGATTACTTCTATTAAACATAATATAGTATTACTATATATAATTTCTTTGATGCTACTCTTTTCCAGTCCGATGTGTCATGATCTACTTATTTTTTTGGTTTTTTTTTTAAAACGTTTGCGATTAAAATATCTTAATCATCTGTCTTAGAGATTTATCAATTACTTTGGTCTTGCCTATTTGACCTTGTTCTACATCCTTTTAGATCAATGTTTATTTCCTTACCTATAAAATCAGTCCATATTTTCAATCGATGTTAACTTTATAGATTTTTTGGTTCTCTAGGAACCGTATTTGCTATGTGTTTAGGTGACAAACTCTTTACAGCTTCCAGTGAAAAGAGAAGAACTCTCAATTACAAAACAAAAACTCTGTCTCACTAGGGCCTTCATCTCATTCACTACGCAAATTTTCTTCGGATGGTGAGGATTATGTGTTTTTCTCAACAAGTGTCATGCCAAGTGTAATTCTCTACAATAACAAGATGCTGCAACACAAGACCTTGAACCTAACAAATATTATTGATGCATGTCCGTTTCAATGTGATTACATGAAAGATATGTAAGCTAACTTTTTCTTTCTTTGTTTCATATATGGGTAGTTTTTGGTAATATATTGGAATAATGGATATTCTTGGTTAATCTAATTATGATTTGAATGTTTAAATTGGATAGTGTTGTAGTTATTACGAACGATAGATTTGTATTTTGCACATTGGGAGATATTGCGCAATCTTGCAAGAGTATGATGGCATCATGTGTTAGACGGATATGTCACTATGAAGAAACACAATCATATGCCATCATTGTTGAAGAAAAGCAATTAATGAAAACACACCATATACTTCTACGCAAAGCGAATCTAACACATCGTCATCATTTAAGTTGGAGGAACATGAAGTTGGCCTATCAATAGTCAGTTCTCGGTTTGCTGATGCGAATCTCTCATACTATTGTGTTGGGACGTCACTCAATTTTCAAAGAGAAGATGATCTTATGTGATGATATATATGCCAACTCGAATCATAAAAGAATACATTGACAAATATATACATAAACATACTATATGTATATTGATCTATGTTGTAAGTTATACATTAATACAAAGAAGTGAAACCTATAGTTAGAAATTAGAGCTAAGACAAGTAAATATTATCTACAGCTCGAAGTGTAAAACATACATAGAACAATACTTGCTATTACTTCAACCGGTTTTGCTGTTCATTGAGCAAATACCAAGATGTTCTAATATAGTTTGATTTCGGTATACTAGTTGAACATCTATACTAATTTATATTTGATTGTAATGGCCATTTTGTATAAACATTCGCATAATGTTTATGTTGAGATCTGTCAAGTTACAAAGTCTTGCTCTGCTTAGTTCGATTGATTTCATTTTGATGGCCAAACCGTTCCATCTAAACTAGTTTAAATATATTGTCAATTTTGTTTTGCTTACTAAATAAATTAGCATTTAAACCCCAAAAAAAAAACACATATGTGTTTAGTGTTAGAGTGAATGATATTTTAGATAAATAATGCATTTTCAAAAGATGACAACTATATGCCATCAAACCAATATTTTTAATACATTTGCATCTTGATCGATATGAATTTCTTATAATTGAGAAATTTCACCTTAAAGAACTAGAATCAAAACGTAGCTTATGATATTTGTAAATTATATTTATGTGATTTTTTCTCCATTGTCAATGTATTTCATTACAATTTGTATCTTTTCGTTTTTTTGGTTTGATTTTTCTCTTGGTACATCAAATTTATAAACATCTTCTTATTTCATTATGTCCTATTATCTTTTTCAAATTTAGGATTTGCTTCTTATTTAAAATTAGGTTGCTAAAGATTTTATGAGACTGATTAGTTCTAAGATTGGACCATTTTTTTTTTTTCAATACAAAAATAAAGATTGGACCATTTAATTAAATATGGACAGCTAAATCTAAAATATATTTGCATCGCCAACTGCCAATCGTGTACTATCTTTGAACAGTGAGATTTAGAAAAAAATTTGTTTGTATGTACTCCTTTGCACAAAAGGTAAGCTACAAACTCTTATATGAAGGTTTTATTTAACTGTTTTAGAGTCCATATTAGGATATTTTGTTTAATTTCTTGTTTATTAAAGGTTAAATTATGTTGTAATTAGATATTGTCATTGTGTCAGAGATGGAGTGATGCAGCGGGATCGTGACTTGGAAGTCAAGAAAAGAACGTGTGTTTATTGGTTTTGGGCTTTATTATGGTGTTGGGCTTTAAGTGTTTTTTTATTGCTTTCGTCTTCTTCACTAGTCTAGGGTTTTTAGTTTCCAACTTCTTATTTAAGCGTTTATCATAAGTTATTAGACGGCAGCTTTTTTGAGAATATTAATAAAAGAGAGATTTATCTTCTTCCTTGTTCTTGATTCGATTAAATTCATCAGACAAGAAGCCTTGTGTAGATTTGATTAACTTCATCTCACGAGAAGCAGGTCCCAAGCGAGGATTTTAACAAATCCCTTGGTTGAGCTGATCTATCCGGTTCGTACGCTGCGCCAGGTTGGTATCAGAGCTTTGCTACGCTCCTTGTTTCAATGCCTAGACCCAAGAAAGTTGTGCCTCCTACGGAGATCGAGATTACGCGTCAAGCCATTGGAGATCTCCAAGCTCAAGTCCAGAATCTCACAGCAGCAATTCAAGCCATGAATATGCGGCCAGTGCTCCCAGCAGTTCATCAAGACCGTGAAGAAGTCATAGATGATGAAGCTGATTCAGATGTTGAAGATAATCCATTCGCTGGTGGTCGTGGGGGTCGTAATAACCGTCGCGTTGAAGCTGACTCTGATAAAGAGGAAGACGATGATCATGATGATCGATGGGAACGTGGTTTCAAGCTCGAAATTCCAGAGTTTCGTGGGAGTAACATTGCGGAAGAATTACTCGACTGGTTTGTGACGGTGGAAGAGATTCTTGAATTCAAACGAGTGCCACTTGATCGTTGTGTTCCTTTGATTGCGATTCGATTCTGTGATCGTGCAGCTGCTTGGTGGACTCAAAACAAGACGTCTCGTACTCGTCTTGGTAAGTCAAAGATTGTGACATGGGAAAAATTAAAGCGGGAGATGCGCAAAAATTTTCTTCCCTACAATTATGATCAATTGATGTTTCAGAGATTTCAGAATTTAAGACAAGGAAATCGTACGGTGGAAGATTATGCAACAGAGTTCTTCATGATGATTAATCGGGTGGATACACATGTCTCGGAGTTGCAGCTCGTCGCACGTTTTGTTGGCGGTCTTAGACAACAAATTCAACACACGCTTAACCTTTTCCAACCATTGACGATTTCTGAAGCACACCAACAAGCCCTCACAGTAGAACGACAGAGCCGTGGAGCTAATACCTTTTGGAGCAACATGAATGGACAAACAACGACTCGAACTGTACCCGCTTCAACAAGTCCTCTATTGAATGAAGCCACTGTTTCAACTCCAACAGTCCAGCCACACGATTCTTCATCTAATGGTGAGCTATCTAGAACTTCTCGTCCTTCAAATGTTTTGAAGTGTTTTTCTTGCGGTGAACCTGGCCATCGACAAGCATCATGTCCCACAAGAAATCGACGAGGTTTGCTTGCTGAAGAATTTCAAGCTGACTCTAAACCAGTTTTTGATGACGATGGAGATGAAGCAGAGTATGTAGTGGGCGATATTGGACCTCTACCGATAGTGGGCCAAGAAATCCTGAATGGAGATGTGGGCGGAGGCGAAATACATTGATTATTTTAATGATGTAAAAAAATATTGTTGTATTAGTATTTTGAAAATAATGCAAATTGATATAGATTTGAATCAATTTCAAATAGATCAATAATAGTATCAATCATTGTAATTGATATAATTTATATATTTTGTATCAATTATCAAATCAATAACTAATTTAGATTAATATCTCGTCTTTTTAAGCTTTTTAGTTTCGGTTATGTTTAGTTCATTTAATCTTCGAATTCGATCCTTTTTTCATGTATGCCAAGCAAGCTTCAATTTTCCATTCTCAGGTTCAACTTCTTCTTCTTGTGTATTATATCATCAGTAAACAAGATTTTTTTTTTAAATGTCCTAAATATAAAACAAAAAAAAAGACCATGAACACGAGATTTTGATTTCATTTGAGATTGGGGAGACGTTCAAAATTTTTGCGATTGGATATTTTATAAATTTTCGGAGAATTTAAATCAATTAAATTTTATTTATTATATAAAAATATGTTCTTACATAATGTCATCCAATCGAGAAATAAATACATCTTACATAATCTCTCAAGTCTCAGCTGCATAAAATATTTCATAATCTTAACAAAAATAGAAAAAGCAAAGAAGAACTTGAGCAGAGGAATCAAGGAAGCAAATATTGCATTAAGGAAATAAAGAAACAAGCAATATACTAAGAAAATGAATTAAAGAATCAAATAAACAAAGCTAAGCATGTAAAGAAGCAATCGAGAATATTAAGAAGAAAAAAGATAAAAATAGAATCAATCAAAGAAGCAGAGGAATCAAAGAAGCAAAGAAACAAGTAATACAATAAGCAGAGTAATCAAAGAGGCAAAAAAAAAACAAGTAATGCACTAAGCAATCAAAGAAGCAATGAAACAAGTATCCACTAAGCAAAGAAATCAAAGAAGCAATGAAACAAGTAATACACTAAGCAGAGGAATCAAACAAGCAAAGAAACAAGTAATACACTAAGCAAGCAAAGAAACAAGCAAAGAAACAAGCAAAGAAGCAAGCAAAGAAACAAGTACTACACTAAGCAGAGGAATCAAAAGAAGCAAACAAGGAAGCAAACAATGCATTAACCACCGTGTCCGCCACCATAACCATCTCCATTACCACCACCAAAGTTAGAGCGAGAATCACCGAACCGCTTTGACGGGGTTGTAACTGAGTTTGTTTTGTAGCTCCGCCTTCTTTATCCTATACGAGATAATTTCCACAGACAGTTAAGCAAAGTAACAGGGCAGATTGACTATAGCTACAAAGTCTTAGAATCCCAACAATATTTGTAAGAACGTGTAGTTACCTGAGTCCCTGAAAGCTCAATTCTGTTCCCCCTTTCGCAAAGAGATGATGAACCATATCTTCACTTTTCATATGTAACAAACCCAAAGCCACGTGATCTTCCAGTTGAATGATCACGCATAATCTGATGTTCTTTCAGCTCTCCAAATTGCATAAAGAATTCTTTGAACTCATCTATACAAACACCAATCACCAGATGAGAAACTTCATAAATAAAAACATGATTCTGAAATAAAAAATCATGTGATACAAATATGGGATAGTATGGAAGAGTGTTTACCATCATCCACAGAAGTAAAGTAGCTTGCAACAGTCTAGAGTGATGTCATACCTAAAACACATTAGAAGTAAATGGAAGTTTGATCATTCAAAGCTACTTTATGAAGAAAAGGAAAATCTCCTCAAATCAAAAGTTTGTTTCTAAGATAGGCTCAAAGTCATATATATAGACAACAAAATACTCATCCGCTACTGTAGAATATAAATAAAAGGAGAATGTAATTCCAAACTATAAGAGCAAAATCAATCGACTAACCATAATAAGACACTTACCTTCAGGAATAAGAAGATGACAGATCCGTCACTGTTCTTGTGGAAGAAGGTAAGATGGAGCCTGCTTTAAGGTCAAGAGCCCATGGCAGAAGCTCTTCACCACAAAAGTCTCCTTCTTTCAATATTAACCCTCTGTTGAAGAAACAGCTTCTTCCTCCATCTAGTGTTACACTCTCTAACCGGCCTCGGATTATGAACATCATTTCATTAAACGGCCTCCATCTAGTATAGTATCTCAAGCAATTTTAGCATTCTGATTGTGAAAACCAACCCTCCTAACTAAACTCAGGCAAAGATGACGTTTGATGTCTCTTCTGAGATCCGTAGCTAAACTCTGAACTAAATTTTCTTCCTTAACACCTCTGGTCTCTAACCATTTGTATTGATCATAGCGTCTGACTCTTTCCCTCAAATTTTGTGGAAGTGACCTGTGATACTGTTCCGAGTCACATCTTTTGATCCTCATTTCCTCGAGACGAACAGTAAGTAAATGAAGATAAGTCTGCATATTCCCGAGTAGAAGCGCGAAAGAAGAAACCCTTGACCTAACGCGCTGGAAAACAAAACCTCTCCTGGAAATGTACTTGTTTGCAGCCCTTGACCTAAGGCGCTGTTCAAGAAAACACCAAAGATATCAAATTACTGCATAACAACGGTTTATTCATTGATTTCGAGGCCTTACCTGAGATTTTGAAAACTCCACCATATACAATAACAGAACTTGGAGAATTTTTTTGAAGATATAGCTTGACCGTATATCCCAAAGTTAAACTTTGAATCATCTCCTTTAGCAGAACAATTGCTCTTGAGAAGCTCAGGGACACAAATTTACTCCCACAATACAGAATCTGAACACAGAGTCACGGATCTGGCTGAACTTACACGCAAATCTCCAACAAGTATCGTTACGTTCCACTGACAACATGTACCAGAATGCTCCAGTTATCTACAAAAATGTGTCTATAAAAGAGAAATGACACGATTATAAATAAATGTCTCAAAACCTAATTAAGAAGAGTTATATGTACAAGAGACGCTTACGTGGCTTGCAAGCATATACCAGAGGAGATAATGGGCAGCACCAGCCCAAGCTCCTTCAGCAAAATCTCCTGTAGTTTTCTTCAATTCTGATGTTACTGCACGACAAAGCCATTTTTCGTCTGTAATACAACTATTCCTTTCGACCCGTGAAGAAACTTCCACACCGCCGCAATCTGTAATATCTACACAAAACATCATATTCAATGTTTAGTTCTGAAGGATTGCTACGCCTTACATAGAACAAATATTTTTCGAATGTCTGAAAAGATAACTAAAGTACCTTACCAATTATACCCAATGTACGTCAAGGTTGCTGACTAAATGGGTACATCAAAGGTTCATGCCATCCTTGTGAATTCTGTGGATATCTTAGCAACAAAATATAGGTACAAATCAAAAGATGTCCTAACATAAATATTTGACGCCAAAAAACAAAAGCCTTACATAAAAAATGATTTAATGGTGCTACTCAGGGCCGGCTCAAAAAATTTAAGGACCCTGAGCTGAAAAAAAATTACAAAAGAAAAAAAATTTTGGACCCTAATTTTAGTAAATTTAGTTATGATAGAAGACACAAAATTACAAGGACCCTGTGCATGAGCACCTAGGGCACATGTATAGAGCCGGGCCTGGTGCTACTGCGGTGAATCTTGTAGGATTGTTCTAAATAACTGCAGATCACTGCGAAATAAAAAGTTTGAAGTGTTCCTGGGAAGTGGGAGCATAGGATTGGTTTTGTTCCCGTTTTTCAGCAGCACAAAGGATTTTATAACAGCCCCCTTTGCCAAGTCTCTGTGTGCCTAATAGAAATTAAGAACATTCCATCAAGATTTTGTAGTAGTACTTGCAACAGATTCCTAATTCATTGGATAAAACTGTAATCAGCCAAAGGGTTCTCAAAAAGACCCATGGTGAACTTGACAAGCAGGAATCTTCCGACAGCATCATCAATCCGAGTGATAGGAATTGCTTTGTTCTTCACCAAGGACATAAGATAGGGACAATGACCTGCATATTATTTCATTAGCTAACACAGACATGAGTAACAGTTTCCTATTTCAGTCCAGGAATGTCTGTGAAGTTTGAAATACCAACCAGCTTGAATTGCAGCTCGGACGGAAGCTGTGTAGTGTGTATGCGGTGGTGAGGAAATCTTATCAACACCTTGCCAATCCGAAATAATAAAACACTGCACATATCATAGAGATGATAAGTTGGAATTAGCACTCAAAATCAACTCTATGATCTAAGAATTCAAAGATGCTCTATAAAAGTTCTATTCAAGACTCTACAAAATACAAGGAGAAAGAGCAATATTCATTCAGAAACGTTATAGCCAGAACACAGACCTAAGGAAGAATTTAATTTGTGAGCACGTAATTCTCTGCTTCAAACTTTTTGTATGTCTTGCATGAACTAGGCTTAGCAATCACCTAATAACCAACCGTAGTGAAAATTAAAAACTTATGTAAAGCTTGTTTTGATGAGTTGCTGTAATCGTAGTCATAAGCTTACCATTCCACGCTGAATGTCTGCTCTCTTTAGCCCCCGCAAAAGAAGCCCTACATGGTCACCAGCCTAGCATAATAGAAGCCAAGGTTTAATCAGTATCTTACATGCCCACAACTTTTATTTGTAATCTCTTGATATTGGCTTTATTCTTGAACATCTCAACTCCAGTTACAGTCGATTTCAGTGGAAGCCCCTGGAAATCAAATCTCACAGTTACGCTAAAGAAAATGCTTAATTGTAATATCCCCCAGTAAATCACCACTCTGGCAGTACTAAAACAATATTTATGCACACTCACCTCACGTAAACCCAATATCTCAACTTCTTCACCCACTTTAATGGTTCCCTATTCAATACGACCGGTTGCAACAGTTCCACGTCCCTTCAAGAAAAAAGAAAAGTATCAGAACTGATTTGTTCTTAAAGAGTGAATCAGAAAACAACAAGGATGTAGACTAGTGTACTTGAATTGAGAAAACATCTTCAATTGGCATCAAGAAAGCCTTGTCAAGCACGCGAACAGGGTCAGGTATGTATTCATCAACAGCATCCATTAGCTTTAATATAGCTTGCCTTCCAATTTCATCATTGGTGCCTTGTAATGCGTACAAGCAGATCCTCGGATGATGGGAATATCATCCCCAGGAAAATTGTAGAAGCTGAGGAGTTCTTTATAGAGACAAGAGTTGATGTCAGAAAGCTTGTACTTACTTCGTATGATGATTGACAGAAATTCTGTGAGATTAAAACTCTACAAACCTCGTAGTTCCATCTCGACAAGCTCCAACAGCTTAGGATCATCCACCACATCAACTTTGTTCAAGAAGCACACAAGTGAGGAAATACCAACCTGTGGAACATTCAATAATTCAAATTGTGGCAAACAACCTAACTCAACTGAGTAGCTTCAAGTGTTCATATTGTAATAATGTGAACCTGGCGTGTAAGTAGGATATGTTCTTTTGTCTGTGGCATGGGTCCATCTGGACCTAAAACCACAAGAATTCCACCATCCATTTTTGTGCCGCTCCAGTAATCATATTCTGAAAGTTAACAACTGAAGCAGTAAGGCTAAAACGTTTATCAAAGTATTTTTTCTAAGAAAATCCATAACTGATGCATGTTACTCCACTAAACAATTCACAAATACTAGATTATGATGCATCCCTAGAGAATAACCCTTCTAGTAATAGTTCAAAACCGATCACTAAATTGGAGTCAGAGTAGAGAGAAAATGTGTAACATGTCATGTTTAAAATGAAAGGAAAAAAGTAAGCAGACCTTAAACTTAAGGCTACCCTTAAGATACCCTGTGATAAGTATTTGCATGCATCTTCTCACCATTCCAGCTCGAATATGCAAAATCAAAGAAACATATCAGCTAATACGTGCCTGGTGGCTCTAAGACAAACATTGTGAGGGAAAATAGTAGCGTTATAGACATTATCATGCTCGTGAATGGCATCAATGCCATATATCATAGGAATTTCCAAACGACTAACTAGAACACTTGCCTTAGGAAGTCGAGCAATCCCACCACCACTCAATACACTGCCTGTACAGAACAAAAAGACATCTTAAAATTTCAATGTTCACAAATACAGACACTCAATAACAAGTCAAATTACGCATCTTATCTAGTTCTTTAATAACAAGATGATGAGAGACTGAAATCAAATGAGCAAAACCTGATTGAACTCTCCTTTAATAACTCTGCTTGCTACTCGGTTCTGAGCAAATATTTATTCAACATAAGTAACTAAGCCCCTATGTCTAGCTTTGTTCGAATGATATTAATTCAACAAGTGTTAAGACGGTATTACCTTATTTGATTGTAAACAAGTGGTTATTGCAAATAGACGATCTATTCAGTTTAGGTACAACCTTAGTTAAAAAAAGCGCGCCATAGGCGCGCAATGGTGCGATGCGCACCGAGGCACAAGGAAAATCGCAACAAGAGCCGAAGGCGTGGCATAGTCTATGATGCGAGCGCCTTACGTGAGCCATGGCAAAAGTCATATTCCTCTACTGAACATGATGAGGAATATGACTATAAATATAGCCATTTATGATGAGGAATATGACTATAAATATAGCCATTCCTTATCACAAGCTCCAAAAATTCCTTTCCTTTCTTTTCTAGCATTCAATAAATCTGGAGGTGGAGAAATTATGAACCTGTCAAGTGGACCTTTGTGTCGTGGCTTTTTGCGCTGCGAAGGACCGGCTTTGTTTTTTGGCTCATAATCCTTCTCTTCTCCCCCATCATCATAATCTTCAAATTCAGGAGGTGGTGGCGTCATTTGAACAGCAGCTTTAAGTTCAGCCTTTCTCATCATAAATGCTTTTATTTCTTCCCTAACATGCTCTGGACACTCTTTGCATTTAGTCGCATTTCGAAAACCTCCAACCAAGTCTTGTTTGTGACGACTGATTCCTCCATTAGTTGTTTTGAAACAATGATTACATGTCCATTTGTTTCTGTTGGTGGGATCGGGAGTACCATGTTTTCTTCCTGGATCCATTTCTTGGCTTGGATGATCAGCTATGGTGTCACTTATCTAAAAAAACAGAAGTAAGACATTTTTGGACGTGAGTATTTTGTTTTACGTACTCATATCGATTGACAAATTATGAAAACATGATTCAGACTAATATGATAGCATAAGCACACGACGTGTTGGATTTTTATTTAGTCGATCCAACAATATGTTAATTGTAAAAAGCAAACAAATCTGAACAGTGATGGCTTTGAAAAAATCACGAAATCGTTAAACAAAACATGAGAACAAAACAAAGTCACTAATCTAAAAGAAATTAAAACAGAACATGAGAACTAAACAAAATTGAAACAGACTTGAGAAAAACATAGCAAAATGTCAAAGAGAATAAACAAAGGAAGAATGAATTACCTTAGAATAAAACTTGAGAAGTTTGAGAAGTGAGAAGAGAGAGCGTCTGCTGTGGTTTGTTTGAATATAAGAGAGGAATGCCAAAAGTCGTCTAGGGATTTTTATTGGTGTGAATCGTGAGAATATTGACACACATAAATAGGGATTTTTAAAACCAATTTGAGATTTATAAATATACTCAAAGTAATTACACGTTGAGTTTAAAAAAGCTAACAAGAAGATTACAAATATTTCACTTTCCTTCTGTTGCGCCACAACACAGTAAAGCGCTCGCATCGCGCAACGTCGCTTTTGCCATGGCTCACGTAAGGCGCTCGCATCATAGACTGTGCCACGCCTTCGGCTCTTGTTGAGATTTTTCTTGTGCCTCGGTGCGCATCGCGCCATTGCGCTCCACAGGCGCGCTTTTTTAAACGAAGTTACTCAACAGGTAACTCCAATTTCATTTAAACCCTTTACTCAATTCTGACATTTGAGTATTACTCACAGAGACTAACTAAATTTTTATTCACCTGTTCTGTGAGGTTACTGGAGTTACCTGGAGCCGCTGCTCCACCTCAGTGGATGTTGAGAAGCTCGCAGCAAAGCTGGAACTTCTGGCCAGGTACCGTCTTAGTTAGAAAATCTGCTGGATTGACTGTTGTGTGGATTTTGTGTAGAACAACATCACCCTTAGACACTATATCCCTGATGAAATGAAATTTAGTGTCTATGTGCTTGGTTCTCTCGTAATGAACTGAATTCTTTGCTAGGGCTAGAGCACTTTGTGAAGCATAATGAACCATAACACTGTCTTGCTTAAAACCCAATTCTGAACACAAACCTTTCAACCAAATGGCTTCTTTCACTGCTTCAGTAAGAGCCATATACTCCGCTTCTGTGGTTGAAATAGCCACAACAGATTGTAAACTTGATTTCCATGAAATTGTGTTTCCACCAACTTTAAACACAAAACCCATCACTGATCTTCTCCGATCTAAGTCTGTCGCATAATCTGAATCTGAAAATCCTTCAATGCAGAACTTAGAATCCTTCTTAAAAATTAAGTTTTGAGTGTATGCACCTTTTAAATACCTTAACACCCATTTCACTGCAGACCAATGATCTTTTCCTGGACTTGACATAAACCTGCTGATTAAACCCACTGCAAATGCTAAATCTAGCCTTGAACCAACCATAGCGTACATTAAACTCCCCACAACACTTCCATATGGAATTCTTTCCATGTGTACAGCTTCTGTTTTCTTTTCCTCTTCTGACAAACTTCTGAGTTTGAAATGAGCAGCAGTTGATGTAATCACTGGCCTTGCTTCAAACATTCCAAATGTTTTTAACACTTTCTCCAAGTAGTTTCCCTGAGACAGAATCAATTCTCCCTTCTCTCTATCTCTTATGATATCCATGCCCAGAATTCTTGAAGCCTTCCCCAAATCTTTCATTTCAAACTCACAATTCAGCTTGTCTTTAAGCTCCTGTATAACAGTCATACTCCCTGAAATTATCAGAATATCATCAACATAGAGCAACAAATAGATAGCTTTATCAGTTTGAGTGTCTCTCATGTAGACACATGGGTCATAGCAGCTTCTTTCAAACTTCTGATCCTGCATGAATCCATCAAACCTATGATTCCAAAGCCTAGGAGACTGTTTTAGGCCATATAGGGACTTCCTCAACAAACAAACTTTGTTTTCGTTTCCCTCTTGTATGAATCCTTCAGATTGAGTCATTAGGATCCTTTCCTCTAGATTACCATCCAGAAAAGCTGTTTTAACATCCATTTGCTCCAGCTCATAATCCATGTTAACCACAAGTGATAACATTAACCTAATGGAGACATGTTTCACCACTGGAGAAAACACTTCATTATAATCAATTCCTTCTTGCTGCAAAAAAAAACCTTAGCAACAAGTTTGGCCTTGTATCTCTATTTCTCCACTCCTGGTATGCCTGGCTTCAATATAAAGATCCATTTTCATCCAATCAGCTTCTGCTTTTCTGGTTTCTCAATTATATCCCAAGTATGAATCTTTCTATGAGAATCCATCTCTTCCTTCATTGCATTTTCCCACTGCTTTCTCTTACTACTTTTCATAGCTTCTTCATATGACTTAGGCTCTTCTATTTCCAAGTCTTCTGCTATTGCCAAAGCATAAGCTACGAAATCTGCGTCTTCGAATCTTGATGGAGGCCTGATATTACTTCTCCGTTTTCTGTCCCTCGTCAACAAATAATCATCCAGGGACTGATCATTTTCTGATCCACCAACTTCCTCATCTGTTTCTGATTCTTGTGAACTTTCAGAATTTTCTAATGAAGATGTGGAAGTTTCTCCACCTTGAGAAGATGCGTCATCCGAATCAGAATAACTGGTAGAAGGACCTCTAATAAGATCATGGCTGAAAGACACTCTTTTTCCAGCTTTCTTCAATTTCCTGTACTCCTTTTCAGCTTCGTCTTTCCTTCCATCTGCACTACTTAGTGTGTTCTTGTATAGCTCACTTTCATTGAACACTACATTTATACTATTAGTGCATTTCCCTTCCTTAGGCAACCAGACTCTGTATCCTTTAATACCGAAAGGATATCCCATGAAAATTCCTTTGACTGCTCTTGGACTTGTCTTATCTTGGGTAACATGGACATAAGCTGAACATCCGAACCTCCTTAGGTGACTTAAATCTGGTTTTGTACCTGTCCACACTTCCTCAGGTAACTTGAAACCAATAGACGAGTTTGGTATCCTGTTGATTAAGTAGACAGCCGTAGAAGTAGCTTCAGCCCAAAATTTCTGACTCAATCCTGTTTCAGCAAGCATACTTCTAACCTTATCCATAATGGTCATGTTCATCCTCTTCGATACACCATTTTGCTGCGGTGTATAGGTACACGTTCTGTGCCTCTTTATTCCTGCTTCCTTACACAAGTTGTCAAATTGTGTGTTACAGAACTCAAGACCATTATCAGTCCGTAAGTACTTAATCTTCTTGCCCGTTTGATTCTCAACTGCTTGTTTCCATTCTTTCAATTTGTGAAATGCCTCATCCTTAGTCTTCAGAAAATACACCCATACTTTCTTTGAGAAATCATCAACGAAGCTTACAAAGTACTTGCAACCACCAAGACTTTCTGGAGTAGAAGGAGATCCCAGAGATCAGAATGTATATAATCTAATATACCTTTGGTGGTGTGCTTAGCAGTTGGGAAACTTTGCTTGTCAGATTTTCCAAGTACGCAACTCTCACAAAAGTCCAGCTTGTCTACTTCTTTTCCCGACAAGTAACCTTCTTTAACCAGCACGTTCATGTTCTTCAAACTCATATGACCTAGCCTAGAATGCCACAGGCTGGTCATGTCAACTTCTGGTCTTGCCACTGCAACTTCTCCTTTTACAACCTTTCCTTGTAGATAGTACAACCCATCTTGATATTTTCCAGAAATAACCTTCTGTCCATCTTTGTAGAAAGTGACTACGAAGTCTTCCCCTTCATATTTGCAGCCGTTCTTCTCAAATTGACCATATGAAATGAGGTTCCTTCCCATTGTAGGTACGTACCTCACATTTGTTAATATGACCATAGAATCATCTGGATTTAAGATCTTAATCTTACCAATCCCTTTCACTTCACAGTGAGTCATATTACCCATCAAGACCTTGCCACCATCAAACTCTTGTAGGTCAAATAGAGAATTCTTGTCTGGTGTAATATGAAAACTACAACCAGAATCCATAACCCATTCTTCCTTAGTGTCTTGAGGGCTAACGGTTAGTACTAAAGGCTGCTTTGGTTCTGTTGCAATGTTTGCTGAACTTGAAGGTTTGTTTGAGGACTTTTCAGGACACTCCCTTTTCCAATGTCCTTCTTTACCACAAATGAAGCAGCCCTTGTTGTTTTTAGTATTCTTTGGCCTTGATATTGATCTGCCTTTGCTCTTAGAACGTCCTCTCCACGGTTTGCCTTTTCCTTTGTCAAACCTCTTCTCTGATCTGCCTCTTGTTTCCACGTACAGACCTTCACTTTGAGATTTTGAAAGCTTTC